TGAGCAGAGCTCCCCCATGTGGGAGCGCACTGACCGCCAGAGGGCAGCTCCTGCATTGAGCGTCTGCCCCCTGGTGGTCAGTGTGTGTCATAGTGACCAGTCATTCCCAGTCATTCTGCTGTTAGGGTCAGTTTGCCTATTACCCTTTTATTATATAGGATATGTGTATGTATATATATATAATCAACATATTCAACGTTTCTATCACCCCAAATAGTTCCCTCATGCTCTCTACTTCTGGCTCTAGGCAACCACTGATCTAGATTCTGTCACCATACATGAGTTTTGTCTTTTGTAGAATTTCATATAAATGCCATCATACAGTATATATTTATTTGTGTCTGGCTTTTTAAATGTGTTTGAGAGATGCACCATGTTGTTGCATGTAGCAGTAGTTAATCCATTTTCTCTGTTGTATAGTATTCCATTGAATGAATATACCAGAGTTCATTTTATCTATTCTACTGTTGATGAGCACTGGGTTGTTTTCAGTTTGGGGCTATTAAGAATAGTGCTGGTAAGAATATTCACGTCTAAGTCTTTGTGTGAATATAAGCTTTTATTTCTCTTGGGTAAGTATCTAGGAATGAAAATTCTGGGTTCTATGATATTTTAAATTTGTATAAGAATATAAGTATAAGAAATTGCCAGTTGTTTTCCAGAGAGGTTGAGCTTCCATTTTTGCCATGATTGCTTCTTAGTAAAGATTTAAAGAATTTCAGAGAAAAGGGAGTTTAACAATGAAAAAAACATGGGTATATTGTGTTCTCTCTTTGTTTCTCTTCTTATTTGAAACTTTCCCCCCATTTTTATGAAAGAGAAATAGAAGAAACAAAATAGTTTTCTGATCATGAAAATAAAGGAATTGAAGAGAATGCTAATGAATTCCTAGCCTAATAGGGCTGAATTTTTCCTTCAGCCTGGAAGGTTTTTGTTCTTCATTTTCAGATTCTTACCTGGAGATTACTCATTCCTCCTATCTCAGCCCCAGTGGCCTAATGCTTTACAGATTTCTCCAGTAGGCCTGTTAAATGTTTCTTTGGCACCACATACCCTTCATTTATAGCACTTAGCACAATTTATAGTCCTTTATATTTTTGGAATTAGTTTATTAGTGTCTTTCTTCCTGACTTCATGGAGAGGAACCAAATCTCTTTATATCCCCCTGGATACATTTGAATGGGTGAATAAATGAATGAAAGAACTGGAAAAGCCTAATAGAACAAGGCTTCCAAGCCAGCACACGTGACTCAGCAAAATTGTTCGAAACTCTACATGTGTGTGTCAACTGCCAACTCCCCCAAAAGACCACAGTACTCTATTGATCAAGCATAGCTGTTTATTACCTGCTGAAATAAGGGAGGACACCACCTTGACCAAGTCTTAGTAGTAGCTTAGAAGGGAAGGTTCAAGAGCAGATATGTATATGGTTTTAGGTCTGGTTTTGAGTGATTTAAGACAGGCCTTTCAATGTGGGGGTCCCGAGTGGACAAAATTCATTATTGAATAGTTCAGTGCTGATGGACACCCAAAGTAAGCATTCTAGAGCAAGAAGGTCTGCCCTATGGAGCAACCTGTTCATCTGAGAGAGGGGGTTGGTTGTTTGAAAATAAATTTTCAGGAGGTTCCTGGAGCAAACATTGAAGTCTTTTACTGGGCAAGAATTTTCTGGAACAAAGAGTTAAGTCATGTTGATGTAGGCTTACCTCTGGTAGTAAAGTTATGAGGCTGCTGGCAGCTCCCCAGTCTTAAAACCCAGTTTCCTGAGTCTTAGTATACAAAGGCAGATTACTTCTATGATTTTTTTTTAGCATAAACACATTTATTTACTAACGAAACGGTCGATCTTAATTAAACCAACTCAGAAATAGTTGCATGTAAAATGGTTGTGATAACTGAACACAGTAAAGGGGGAAAAACGATGCACATAAGAGACACTCAAATGCTCATGTTCCTTAAACTAGTTTTACAAAGTAGACTAAGTTGTGATACTGGTCCTTTCACACTAATTTGTCAACTCGAGTCATAAAATAACTTGAGATGTCTTTTATTCAACAGCTCCTGCCTGTAAATGCCAGAATGTTATTCATACAATCTATCATTCTAGAAGCTTCTGTGAGTGTGTAAGTGATGCCTGACCTGAGTTTTCCTGCCATCTGCTGTGGTCTCTTCAAACTTCTCTCCCAGGTTGCATGAGAACTGGGTGGTCTTCAACGTGCTCTCGGTTCTGACGGTGAGGTGTGTGCCGTCGGAAGTGATGACACAGTCTGGCTTGGCCATGGCGCCCATTTTCCGCATAGCCATTCCCACACCTAGTTCCTTCATGTACTCGTCGAAGCCTTTGCTCTCCACTAAGCGCCATCGCCCGACCAGCTGCTGGATGGAGGCCATGGTGCGCGCGGAGTCAGTGGGACCTGAGCGGAGCGGAGCGCGGTGATGGGAGCGAGCGTGGCTCCCGCCCTCCAGCCGCCGCGTGATGGTGCTCTCCTTCCCGTACCACTCCTGGTGCTGGACCAGCGCGCCGTTGACGAAGTTGCAGACGGTCTGAGTTTTCCTGCCATCTGCTGTGGTCTCTTCAAACTTCTCTCCCAGGTTGCATGAGAACTGGGTGGTCTTCAACGTGCTCGGTTCTGAGACGGTGAGGTGTGTGCCGTCGGAAGTGATGACACAGTCTGGCTTGGCCATGGCGCCCATTTTCCGCATAGCCATTCCCACACCTAGTTCCTTCATGTACTCGTCGAAGCCTTTGCTCTCCACTAAGCGCCATCGCCCGACCAGCTGCTGGATGGAGGCCATGGTGCGCGCGGAGTCAGTGGGACCTGAGCGGAGCGGAGCGCGGTGATGGGAGCGAGCGTGGCCTTCTATGATATTTTTATGCTGAATGAAGAAGACTGGGCTTTACAATTGCTCATATTGTGGATTGTTAAACGTGGGGAAATTTGTAGGCATGACTGAGATACTAATTATACATTCTCACCTGTTGAATTGAAGCCATAAAACTTTTTATTGTATAAAACAGCAACTCCTGGAATCAAGGTATAGATTTGTGATGCTTCTCTCTTTTTGTCCTCTCTCTGACTTTCCTTTATTGTTTTTATTTACAATTGCTTTACTAGACAAAAGTTTAACTTCCCTGTCAAAAACCCAGTGGGAATGAAGAGTGAGAGGAAGTACCAATGGCATGTTAGTATGTTAGTTTAATAGCGGGTGATTGTAAGAAAGTCTCATCATTTTAGGGACTAGTAGTTTTTGAGTGAGAGCACGTTTGCATATGGTATCCGCATGGCTATTTTGTTGCCAATGTGAGGAACACTAAGCTCTCCACAGGACTCTTTGGTGATGGAGCATCTCCCTGACCAAGATGAACAGGACTGGGAGGTCAGGAGGAAAGAGAGCAGCAGAAAGAGTTACAGAGGCAGGTCAGTGCAGTTGCGTAAGTTGCCATTTCCCCACCAATCAGATCCCTGGCGACATCAGGAACCATTCACCTGGTTGACATGGAAGACAGAGCCAGTCCATAGAGCATTCCAATGGCACCATCACTATCATGTTACACAGAATTCACAGCCAAGGTTGACGCACCACTGTTGGAGGAAGCATTCCGAGGCGTGTGCACTTCCTTACCACATGTGCTAGTATGGTGGGGAGGGATGTAGGAAAATTTCTAGCCATGGAAAGTAAACATCTCACCCCCGAAAGAGTAGAGTCCTGCAAGCACTATGGAACAAAGACTCAGTATTGTGAGCTGAGCCAGAAGTCTCCCAAAAGAGAGGGTGGAGCTTGGGCATGGCTTCCCTTCTCTTCCCTTGTGGAATATCGTCACAGCATCCGTGGGTAATGTGTGCAGAAGGGGCCTTTAGAAAGTTGGTTGTGCTACAATTTATGGCTCCTCTCAGCAACTAAATCTCTGCTCTCTGATCTGTAACCCAGCATCCATAATTCCTCTCTCCCCCTTTAAAAGTTTTCTTTTTGTAAGTTATATGAACATAACTTTAAAATTAAATAATATGCCTCAAAAAATAGCAGGGGCCTTTGCTCTTCCTAACTCCAGGTCCTGCTGCCCAAGACCCACTTTCATCTTTTTCAACTCTTCCTTCTGGTGTTTATCTCCATGTGCTCATACTCTTTCTGGATTTATGCATTTTAGACCTGTGGATTGACCTCTTGCTGTGTTCAATCAAGACATAACACCTTTACAGACTCCCTCCCTTTTTCCTCTCTCCCTGTTCTCAGAATTACATTGCGATTTTTACCTAAATTAATTGTCACTGTTTATATGATTTGCAGATATGGTTTACCCCAGAACCAACTAGGGCCGTGGTCGGCAAACCGCGGCTTGCGAACCACATGTGGCTCTTTGGCCCCTTTAGTGTGGCTCTCCCACAAAATACCACGTGCGGGCGCGCACGTACAGTGCGATTGAAACTTCGCGGCCCATGCGCAGAAGTCGGTATTTTGTGGAAGAGCTGGTATTTTGTGGAAGAGCCACACTGAAGGGACCAAAGAGCCACATGTGGCTCGCGAGCCACGGTTTGCCGACCACTGAACTAGGGAATTGTGATTATCTTTCTTGTGCAATGCTTTATTTTGTTATTGTTTCTTACTTGCAGTTTTCTAGGTCCTATTTATTTTTTTCTGTCAGATCTGTCAATGCCCATTGATAGCTTTTCCAAAACCTCAAACTATCAGCTAATTTATTTATTCTATATTCCTCCCCAACCCCACCCAGAGATTCTTTGTGGGACCCCTCTGTCCTGTTCTGCAGTCTCTAGGGCTGCTGCACAGTGGCCATCTGGAATTTTTTCTTCACGTCACCTGTGACCACCTCCCTTCTGGAGGCCCTGTTTCTGGATTCCCATGTCTTCCACTTTCTTGGCTTACTCCTTCCTGTTGTAGGATTATCTTCTCCAGTGGCTTCCTAGGAAAGGACACATGGGAGCCAATTATTGTTCAGTTTAGGGATATATCTGAAATGTCTTTACTCTCCCTCTTACAATTACTTCTAATTTGGCTGTACTATATAGATTGTACTGTATAGATTGATAAAACTCAATTGCTTTATCATGTTCTAGCACACATATTGCTCACACATTGCTGTGACTAGTCCAATAGAAATTTTATTTCCAGTCATTTGTAGATGACTTTCTTTCTTTCTTTCTTTCTTTCTTTCTTTCTTTCTTTCTTTCTTTCTTTCTTTCTTTCTTTTCCTTCCTTCCTTCCTTCCTTCCTTCCTTCCTTCCTTCCTTCCTTTCTTTCTCTCTCCCTTGGATAGTTTTTAGGATCTGTATTTTGATGAGCCTCAGACTACTAGTCACTCTGTGGCCCCTTTCAAAGTGAAGGTATATTTCTCAGTTATTAAATTTTTATTTTATTATTTTTATGATAATTTCCTTCCCTTTTTACTCTAAGTCTCTGGAATAACTGTTACTTGGATTTGGGGCCTCCTGGATTAAGTCCCCAAGATTCTTATCACTCTGTAGGGAAACTCTCTTTCTACTCCTTTTACTTCCTGAGAAGTTTCATCTACTTTCTTTTCCAAACCTTCTACTGATCTAAAATTTTTTTAAATATCCTATTTTAAATTTGAGTTCCTCCTTCTTATTTTTCCCATTATTTTTCATAGTGTTCTGTTCCTGTCTCATGGAAGCAACATCTCTTTTCAATCTGAGGGTATTAACTCTGGTGGAAATTTAGAAATTTTCTTCTGATCCCATTATCTCTTTGTCCTTCTCTCTCCTTTTCTCCTCTTTCTTTGTTTTGGTATCTCGTCTCTTAGGTTAGGAGCCATGCCTCAATGTCTGGTGGCCTTTGGCTCTCTGCTCCTATTTATAGCAAATTACTTAAAATATGATTGGAAACTTTATATGCAAAGGTTGGGGGGGGACTTTAAAGTAAAGTCAGGCAGTGGGCCAGCTGCTCTGTGGGAGGACTCCCAAATGTCAAAACCTGGGCAGTCATTTTCCCCACGAAGAGGGGGGAGGGGCGGGAAGAAATTAACCAAAGAACTTATACGGGTACATGCATTGCCCATGGGCACAGACAACAGGATGGTGAAGGCTTGGGGTGGGGCCGGCACTGGGTAGAGGGCAGCAATGGGGGAAAGGAAAGGGGAGGATTCTGTAATACTCTCAGCAATAAAGATTAAAAAGAGTCTTCTTCTAATCTTCCTGGGTGGGGGGTGTTGCCTAACTGATGGGAAGGTGGTGTGCATAACCTTCCTGGGGGTGCAGATGCTGGAGCTGCCGACAGAAGCCACGCTACCCAAGCTGCTGAGTGTGTGTCATCGGTGGCACATCGCTCAACTTGAGGGCAAAAATGTTTAAACCTTTTTTCGTACTACATATATAATTAATATATAACATATAGCATATAGTACATAGTACTTAATACATAGTATATAATATACAATATATGATATATAATATAATGTAATATAATAACATTATTTGCTTTAGTGTGTGTTGGCAAAAATATAACTAGCACACTAAACCTATGACGTCATGATATTATCGCTTTAAGACAAACGAAGTAAATGAGAGTGAGTCAAGTTTAAAGTGTTAAGATAACTGATAGTACAGGAGGGGTGTAGACATGGAAACACATGAAGGAGGTACTCAATTGACTGAGGTTTGGAGACAGTGTGATAAAGAAAGGAAGGCATCTGTTCCTGCCTTAACAGAGGTGGAGCTGGCAGCCAAGGCAAAGGGCCAGAGCTGGTGGTGGGGGCGGGGGGATTACAAGTCCCTCTGTGTCTGCAGAGTGGTGAGAGGTGGTCGGGGGCCGGGTTATAAAGAACCATGTATTTTCTTAAAGCACTGGTTCGATGGTTGTGCATGGCTGGTCTGAGAAGCAGCATGCTTGCTCACTGTGGCTGACCCAAGTAAAGTCAACACGTAATGACTTGCCTTTGAACTATTTACGGTGAGAAAAGGACACAGGCAGCTTTCTGCTGCCACACAGCAAGCTGATAGTGTGTCTCCAGCCCCCGCCCGCACCCGCACCCACACCCGCACCCAGCACATATGCTCATGGCAAGTCATTGAATGCTGAGAGAATGTAAATTTATTTTCTTTATTTTTATTATTTGTTAATCCTCACCCGAGCATATTTTCCCATTGAGTTTTAGGGAGAGTGGGAGAGGAAAAGACAGAGAGAACTAGTGATGTGAAAGAAACATATTGATTGGTTGCCTCCTGCACGAGCCTCCACCAGAGCCAGAGCCCGGGCTGGGGAGGAGCCTGCAACCCAGGTACGTGCCCTTGACTGGAATCAAACCCGGGACCCTTCAGTCCAAAGTCTGATGCTCTATCCACTGAACCAAACCAGCTAAATTTACTTTAACACAAATCTCTTCAAACCTTCACCAGAAAGGTAAATCTGCTGTAAAATCTAAGTTAATGCATTTTCAATGAATATACATGTAATGAATTTTGGATTTCTCTTCATTCTCTATATTCCTGTTTTTTGCATCTGCCCAATTAAATAAGCTCGGGAACACAGCATAGCAATTCCAGGGTTCTGCAACTTCACTGCCAGTACGGTAATAAAATAAAAATTTAGTGTCTCACACGAGCCACATTTCAAGGGCTTTCTAGTCACATGTGACCGGTTGCTATGATCCTGGATATCACAATATACAACTTCATGATCAAAAGTTCTCTTAGCTAGCACTGCTCTATGGTTACACAAAGCCTATATTTTATTTAGATATAAGGGGCATATAACATTATGTTAGTTATAGATGTACGACATAATGATCTGGTATTTATACAAAGCCTACATTTAAGTAAAAAAAAAAGGTCTTTTAAATTTGCATACTGTAATATTGATATTTGTGTGTGTGTGTGTGTGTGTGT